ACAAAATTTTCCACAAATAAACTTGAATCTTTTTTAAATTAAAAAACATGTAACAATAACTATAACATATAATTACAAAACTTCTCACTATATAACTTTTTCTGGCACAAAAATATAGAAATATTTTATAGTATAATTTTTTATAATGATTAAAATATATAACTATAAAAATAATTTATCACAAAAACTTGAATTTTATTATTTGATGTGATTTTTTATAACAATAAATATAACTTATAATTGCAAAACTTGACATTATATAACTTTTTGACACCAAAAATGGAGGAAATATTTATGACAATATATTTTATCAATATAATTAAAATTTATAAATACAAATATAATTTGTCACAAAAACTTGATTATCATCATTTGTTGTGACAATGTTTTTTGTAATAATTATTGACACTAATAGTTAAAAAACTTGTCACTATATGGTTTTCTTACATTAAAAATATGGAGGGAAATGTTTATGACAATATATTTAGTCACTATAATTAAAATATATAACTACAAACATTATTTTTCACTAAAAACTTAAATCTCATTATTTTTCGTAACAACTTTTTTTGTAACAATAATTATAGCTTATAACATAACATGTTACTATATGATTTTGTTTTTACACCAAAAAAATAATCATTTGTGACTATACATTTTGTCCCTTTAATTAAAATATATAATTACAAATATAAATTTATCACAACATATCTAAATCTCATTATTTGTTGTGACAATTTTTCTCTCATATTTACTAAAACTCTTGTTACAAAACTTGTCACTGTAAGAGTTTAATTTGGCGCCAAAAAATGGAGGGAAACATTTGTGACAAAAACTACTAACAAAATTTATTTTGTCACCATATATTACACATGTTTGCTAATTGAGACAAATTATTATGATGATTTTAGTTTTGTCATAATTGTATATCTTTTTTAATTTAATGTGATGATTATTTATTTTTAACAAAAAATCTATTAATAGTGACAAAAATAATTTTGACAAAATTAAATTTGTCACAATAGTAGAAATTTCTAGTAATGATGAAAAATGATCTAATCAACTTTCTTCATGTCATTAAAGTTCCGACTCTCAAAAGTGGATTAATTTTTTAAAGAATAGTATAAATTCTAAGATAATAAAGTTTGAGAACTTGTCTCATTACCTGAAGGTGAAAAGTTGATTGGTTGAAAATGGATATTTAAAACCTAGATGGATGCAAATGGTGATGTTGACAAGTATAAGACATGTCTTATATCTAAAAGATATACTCGTAAAGAAGGCATTAATTTTGTAGACTTCCTCTTTGGTTTCATTGAAAGACTCTTCTAGGATAATCATGATATATGTTGCTCATATTTAATCTTGAGTTACATATGTTGGATTTCAATATGAGAACATTGATGAGATATTTTATAAGGTCCAATTAGAAAATTGTGTCTGATGATACAAAATTAATGAAATGCATATTAGGGAAATCCATTTATGAGTTTATGTATGACTCCCTTAAATTATATAACAAATTTCATCAAATGATTATCTTGTTTGGTCTGAGATGAATTAGATGGACAATTGTATTTATTATAAGTTCAGTGAGAGTAAACTAAACAATACCCCTTATTGCTAAAGAGGAAAAGTTTAGTCTTGATCAGCACCCTAAGGAAGATTTTGACACTAAGAGAATATTAAAAGTTCTTTATGCTTCAAAATTAAATGAGGAGTTTATTGTATACTCAGGTTTATACGCATTCAGACATAGCTTGATTTTAGGATATTAAGCATGTATTTAAGAAATTTGGGTATGAATCATTGGATAACAGTCAAATTGATTCATATAATACATTTAAGAACAAAAATGTTACATGCTCACATATCCAAGGTCTAGTAAGTAAGAGGTCATTAGGTTTATGGTGTAACCCCCTAGACCCAGCCTCTACGTTACGACCAGATCTAAAGGATTACAATAAACATTTACAAAAATAAATTCTACTCTTTAAAATCATAACTTCTTTCAAAGATTGTTATAGTAATAAAACCCAAATCGAGTGATAGAAAACATGAAATATTGTAAGTTAAATAAAATGCCAGTAGCTAGTATCAATATAATCCATACATCAGAGGTGGTAAGAAATATATAACATCATAAAACAGTATATAAAAACATAGGCACGTGTCACCCAAATAAAGGTAGTACAAAAGATTGAAACATCACAACAAAATATACTATACATAATGTGTCGATCCTCCAAGTATCGGGTCTGGGGTGCCTATCCAAAATATATGAAAAGGGAAATGAAGGGGGAGTGGGTTATGAAGCTTAGTGTGTTCTAATAAGTGCAGAATAAAACATGTTCTCGAATCTGATTTTCAAAAATCACATAGTAAAAATGATAACATATTATTTATTTAATACACAAAGTTACCCTGATAAGTGCTTAATTTAGTTAATATTTTTTTCTAAATCACAAAAAACCATAGTCTTTGTGGATCAACCCTGCTTCTCTATGCTACCTTTTCCTTTCTATTTATTAAGAAGTCAGGAATTATTTTGATAGCAAAATGACGGTTATCATACCCTCTAACCATACACCAAATAAAGTTCCTTAGAACTACATCCACAAGGACTTACCCTAGACCCATATGATCTAGGAGCCAACGTAAGGGAGTACCTTGGGTCCAAAACGACTTACCCTAGTCAAAGCGTAAGATCCACCTGAGGGGAGTGCCTCAGGTCCATAAGGACTTAACCTAAGCACAAAGCAAAGAAGACACCCTATGGAAGTAACATAGGGTCCAAAAAATCTTACCACTATGCCCATTGAGATTAGTTGCCATCCCAAGGGTCCATAAGGAATTACCAAGATGATCGGAGTAAACCTACATAGCTTTCAGAATACATCCCAAAAATACCCCAATAAAATAGTTTCAGATAACACCAATACAATCAGGAGATCATAAATCATATATTTTACAGTAACATTAATCTAGAGAATATGTACCAGACAATCATAAATTTTAGATCAGTAAAAACAAAACTCACGAAAAATCAGTAAACAGAACCATGCTTTCAAAATCATTTAAACAATCATGTGCACATGGTAGTTCAGATATATATTTAAAATAAATAATAGCACACAAGGAACTCACCTCACAAAACGGGTCGATCTAAGAGATCTACTGAGCGCCGATCTCGTTACGATCAAAAGTAGTACTCAATCCTAAATCAGATCAGAACAAGGTTACTATAAGAATTATGTGCTGAATATAGTATTTAACAGAGTTGCAAAACTATATATGCATTCACGGATCACGCGATCAGACTGATCGAGAGGAGTTGAGTCGAGTAGTCGTACAGTTAGGAGAAACAAGGGTACCTATGATAACCAAAGTCATAAATATCTCCTCGTCCTTCCTTTATATTTCCTTAACCAAATTAATTAAAATAACTATGCATGCTCAGTTTCAAAACTCAATTAGGAGGATTTCGGGTTAGAATTTGATTAAACGAACTTCAGATTTGGAATTATGACGTCAAAAAACATAGAATATGAATTTTTCAGAAAATTTAACTTTTTGGTCAAAATCTACGGTCAACAAAGTCAAAATCAATGAGTCTAATTGATGGTCAGGTCAAAGTCAACAGTTCAATCAAGGCCAATGGGTTGACTCAATTTTTTCGAAGTTGACTTAGTCCGAGTTGACTCAGTTTTAGAAAAGTCTCGACTGGGAACGAAGCCCATGCACGACGATGGTCAGTAGTGGCGCGTGTGACGGTGACAGGGTCAGTTTTGGATGGTCGATTACTCCTCATTCAACCACTCACCGAAATCAACCAATAACATATCAAATATTAAGCCGAAACAAGCTTAAATAATTGAAAAAAGGAATCGAAGGCTCACCCAAACGACATTCGACGAACTAATGACGGTGGAGAGACGAACCTGGTTGAGTTTCGATCCAAATTGTCTAGTGAACCTAATGGCACAGGCGGTAACGTAAACGAACAGTGGGTTTTACCGAAAATTTCAAAAACAATGTTCGAGTTTTAAGTTTTTCGACAAAGATTTTGAACAGCTCTCCACGACATTCGACGGTGAGTCGCTGTGAGTGACTAATGGGGTTTTGTCAGACATGATCAACTCTTCCAAGTCTAAGGACGATGTTGTACACCGACGATCGACGATTGAAATCATAGGTTGATTCTCAAATGACTTTTTTTTATTTTACGATAAACGATCACGAGTTTGGGCGGCTGGCTGACAGGGTTGGAATCTCGAGGTGTTGATGGTTTAAATGGTGGTGGTGGTGTAAGTCATCGCTGATCGGAGATGGATGAATGACGGTACCTTGATTTTGGAGAGAAATGAAAATTTCTAGAATCTTGTTATTACACGGGGAAGAGGTTGATCCAAGTGCATAAGGAAACCATGGATTTTGGATCCTAAATGGCTAAAGCTTAGAGTGAAGATTCAGGAATACATGGGTTCAAAACCCACAACCTAAACTTTTTATTTTATAAGTCTATAGGAAGATCAGTAAAATAATATGCAAGCCCTTAAACTTTCTTTATTTAACTAATTTGACAGATTTCAAAACAAATTCAAATTTGGTCCTCATAATTAGTCCAAATAATTATAAATATCGTTCAGGTAATTTTTAGGGTATGACATATGGACTCCGATTTATTGGAATATGAATGCAAAATTTTGTCACATGAACTGCTAATTATGGATTGATAAGAAAGACCACTTAAGTTTTTTGTGACAACTAAATTGTTGTACTTCATTTCATATGTAACAGAAACATCTTAAGTCTAAGCACATATACATTATGTTTCTAGTTGTTAAAGAAAATTCAAAGTGGTTATGTGTTTATAGAGAATATTGGTACAAACTCATAATTGTACTCTTACTAAGGAACTGTCACACAAGGTCTTTCATGAGCACACTACTCATGTTGGTGTAATATCAGTTAAGGACATTTGATTTTAGTGGGAGTTTGTAATTTTATTGCTTATTTATTATAAAAACAATTTCAGTTATTCAGATTAAGGATATTTATTTTAAAGTTAATTTTTACCAAAATAAATTCTGTTTTAGTTTATCCACACTCTGATTTTGGTAAAATTTTGATATCACTAATGTTTAAATAGGACCAGTGGAAATAGACATATATGGTTCACATTGCATGCAATTTCCATGTTATGCTCCATGATTGATCTATGTCATTTGACTTTGTTTATATGTGACCATTGATGGGTCTAGTAATGATTGATATGGCAAAGACCGCTTTGATCCTATATAGATATAGTTGATGGACGAGATTGTTATAGAATACCTATTGCATGATAACAAGTTTTGAGCTCATAAGGTTATGCATTTATCAAAAAACATATGTTGCCAAAGTGGGAGATTGTTGGATTAAAATCCATAGTTATGGGCACGTAGTTATAATATATTTTGTTATCATATAATATGACATAAATTAAATTACCAATTATGTTATAAAGTCATAAGGTATTAGAAGTGTCATGGAAATAGAAGTGTAGATAATATTAAAGTTGTATTTACAATTCAACGAAGGGTAGAGTTATAAGTACATACAATAATTGATTCTTAAATTAGATGTATAAAGGGGTGGTCCCCTAGAAATAGATAATCTCGTATTTACTCTTATCCCCATCAGAGAGTTTATAATTAAGGAAACTCTATCTTCTTGGAAGATCACAACCAAAGAAAGAGTCAAGGATTTCAACCTATCAATTAATTCAGGTACGCTTTCGCATTTGGTATTTATTCTATTCTTGATGGTTTAGCATGATTAGATCTTAGTTGTTTTTCATATTTATTATGGTTTGGTTCTAACAGTAATTTCATGGAATTTTAAATACCACTTTCAAAAAATTTGTTTTAATCCATATATAGATTTCTTCAACTTGCATAGCAAGTTTTCATTATCACTATAGGAGATTTTTTTTCAGGTTCTTTCTTGTCTACCTTTTCTACTTGGTCACAATTGAGAAAAAGTAATTTTCACATCCATTTGTTGCAACTTAAGGTTAAATTTTTTTAATGCTAACACGATGCATAAGAAATCTTTCTTGGGTAATGGACTAAAAGTCTTAGTGTAATCGATTCTTTCTAGTTGAGTGAATCCTTTTACAACAGTCTTGTTTTATATCTTTCATTGTTGTTCATTAGTCTCTTTTTATTTTTAAAGACACATTTATATCAATAACTATTATACCACCAAACAACGGTAAAAGATCACAAACACCATTATTTTTCATGAATTCATTTCATCCTTAATAGCGTTGTAGCACAATTCTAATTTATTATATCTCGTGAATTGTGAAAATGACTCAGGGTCATTTTCAGCTCTGATATTAAAGTCAAACTCTTGTAAATGCACAATGTAGTCGCAAAAAAAATTGATTTATTTTCTCTAGTAAATCTCCTTAATGTTGAATCAATATTTTCTTATGAATCATGTTGTTCAATTGATTGTTTAATAATTTCTGAAGTTTCGTTAACAACTTGATACATTTGAAAGGTTTTCAACTGTTTATATATTTTAATTGATTGGTTGTTCAACATTCGTCCGATTACACTTGAGATTTACTTTGTATGATAAAAAATCTCTCACTTGAAGTGAAATGTTTATCTATTGAAATTGAGTGTCAAGATAAATCACTCTTACTAATTATGGCGTACTCGAGAAATTTTGTATTTTCTTGCTTCTACAATTCCAGTGCCATAAAATGGAAAGTAAAACTTGCATCCTTTAGACCTTTTGGTCAATTAAATATCCACTAATGGTCCTCGAATCCAGTTATATTTCTTGTGATTATAATGTTTCATTTCATACTGGTACAGGGATGGATTTAGTCGAGTAGGGACGATCACCCTTTAAGAATTTAAAATTATCATATATTTTATATTTTTTTATGTATTTTCTATTGAAAATTTATTTTCACTCCCCTAAAATTTTATAAATTCAAGTTTTCCCCTAAAATTCTATAAGTTCAAATTCACCCCGGCATAAAATCATGTGTCCATCCATGGACAAACGTCGTTGTACGCGTATATGTCACAAACTCGATTTCTAACATTTGAACAACTCAAAAGGTGTCTTTTGGGAAAATCTTGGTTGGAACTCAATTTAATATATACATGGTTGTTTTGAGAGCTTCAACCAATACAGACTTAAGTAGCTTAGAGCTACTAATCATACTTCACACCATATTCATTAAAGTTTGTTTGTTTTTTCGCAACACCATGCTGATCTCGTGATCTTAACATGGTATATTAGACAATATATCATTATCTTAAAGAAATTTCGTAAATAGATCAAGTGCTTGTCTATCTTTAGTATGTATACCATAATGTTCACCACCTCTACCAGTTCTCACAATAATTTTGATTTGCTTAGCACATTGATTCTATATTTCAGCCTTGAAAACTTTAAAGGCTTTCAATGCTTCTTCTAATATAAAATTTATTTTTAATAATTTTATATAAAATTTTAATTTTTTTTAAATAAAGTATCATTTAACACCCTAGATAGCATGAGGCTCGGCCCTTAGCTATCAAAAAATTACATTTTCTTTTTCTACTTTTTCTTTCTTTTTTATATTTTTACTAATTTTTAAATCGTACATATTTTTAATGGAATTAAAAAACTAACATTCTATCGGTATATATCATAAAATTGTGGACAGTACTAATCCTTAGGCTAGAACAAAAAAGCATGTACTAATATTTATAGACAAAATTGTGAAGTTGTATTTTATTATTGTCGTGTCTAATTTGATCTATTTTATATATATACCTTATGTGCTATGATTTTTATTATAAATTTTTTAAATTTGTTTAATTATATTTTTTTCCTTTTTTAAGAAATTATTTGTAAACTTTGAAAATATCTATAGTGCAAATAACTTGCTTTTTTATTTATATAGGGTAAATATAAGGTATTATCTATTCAAATATAACTCTAAACTTCTTAACATTAAATGCTCACACTCCTGACATTCTTAGTATTTTAACCTAAATTCTTAAAGAAGAGCAACAATTTCTTTACCACGAACTCTATTTAATTCATGGAGTTAAAATAAATTAATTGAGAGAAACAAAATGATTTTTTGGAACCTTTAATATTAGTTGGGTGAGTTACACATGCATGTATCTTCCATAAATGAGCTGTCGGCAAAAGAATTTGAAAAGTTTGGAACATTAGCCAGTATAATAGAAATTCGATATGTCGTTTAAACCAATTAAATCAAGAGTAAACATACATTTAATATTTAAATTATTAATTTTATTATGTTTAGATATTTAAATTTTAGTTTTTTAGATTATAATTAACGTTTAGATTAAATTTTAAATTGATATTTTGTCATTATAAAACTAACATAAGTTTTAAATTGATATTTTGTCATTATAAAACTAACATAAGTGTTAGCGTGTTATTTTTTATTTTTTAATTAATGATATATCATTATCTTATGGTGATAAGATAATATTATCATTATATTTTTAACGGCAAAATACAAAAATTGAAATCTAAACTAAACAATAGTAGTGATTTTTTTTAAATGTAAAATTTAAGTGCCAAAATGAAACAAAAATAATAGTTTAGATTGTAATTTACCGTTAAATAAAAAATCACCCAACTCAAAAATCCTTTAAACCGATTAAAAGAGAAAAGAAAATGAAACCTTAAAAGTTGGTTTTAAACTTGTATATTTCATGAAAATTTATTATGTATCATGTATGTTGAGATTTAGATGACTAATCCCTTCGAGTCATACTAAAATTTGTATCATTAAAAAAACAGGTAAACTATACATTTAGTTTAGAGTTTTGATCATTTTAACCTATAAATTCTTAATTTTTAAAATTATGTTTAATATTTAATTTCATTTCATTTTAGTATCCGCTGTTAAAAACTTAACGCGTTTAACACATAAACTATCTGTTTTGGCTCTTTTAGTATCTAAACTTTCAATTTGTTCAAAACTTAATATTAAATTTCAAATAAATTATTAAAATGAAACAAAAACTAAAATTTTTAACGGTATAGTAGAAAAACAATTGAACACATCCTCAGACATTGCTCAAATTCTAAAGAGGTTTGGAAGGAAGCTAAAGCCCAAAAATTTGATGAACGGTTCGATAACAGGGATACCGATTACCAAGGGGTGGATTACAGTGAACTGCAAATAAAAAAAGCTTGACCAAAATGGAGTTGGCTGGGGAACTACTTTTTCAACCTTACTTTGGGGATTATGGGAAAATAGAAATGAACGAATATTTAGAAATTCTACCAACGATCCCAAACAGTAATACTTTCAGAGCTATAATCTAGCTAGCGAAATCAAACATACAATGGAAAATTCTTACCAAAAGATTGCCAGAGAACCAAAGTGGATACATTGGAGAAAAACCCTCTGCTGGTTGTTGGACCCTAAACGCCGATGGGGCGTGTAGCTCTAGATCTAGGATGGCTTCTGCGGGAGGGCTGATTAGAGATGAAAATGGCAGATGGCTTCACGGGTTCATGTTAAAGACAGGCCAAACAAGCAGTTATATGGCTGAGATATAGGGCATTCGGCAGGGCCTCCTCATCGCCAAAAAACTTGGACTAAGAAACCTCATACTCGAATCAGACGCGAAATAGGAATTGGATTCTCTGAAAAAAGAAAGAAACGATGACATGCAAAGAGAAACTATTTTTAAAGATTGTGAAAAACATCTTAGAAGTGGGATGGGCTCGAGAAATTCACCCCATCTGGAGAGAAGGTAATAGAGCAGCTGATAGCTTGGCAGACTGGGAAGCCATAGGGTCTTCACGGACTTGATGAACCACCGGGAGAGATTGCTGCTATCCTTCATTCTGATAGAATAGGAATAGACTTTCTAAGGTGGAAAATTGTACTCTGGCCGCTATATCTACTGTACCGGAAAAAAAAACCAATTAAACTTTAGATATTATTTTGAAAAAATTGAAAGTTTAGGTATTAAAATAAATCAAAACTGATAGTTTAAGTACTAAATAAATAATTTACCCTAAAAATATATCATTTATTGAATATTTGTTATATTTAAAGCTTGTTTCGTATTAAAACTCCTTATTTGATTCAGTCGATCTATCAAGGACCTCACCAATTCGACCGCATGTCTAGTTAATAGAGCACTTCGACTGCAAAGGATGAGCAAATAGCTTAAAAAAAGTGTTACTTTAGGCAATTCTTATTTGAGCTTTTCACCTTGCTAATATTATTACAACCTTCTAAAATGTATCATTCCCTCACAAGCCAATGTCCCTTCAAGATCTCCAATGATTCTAGCTACACGAACCTCAAGACCCCTTTGAACTTCCTGAAACAACGATTTCATATTATCAGAGAATCGCTTCATGTCGAAACTGGCCGTCTGCTCTAGCTCCACCCCTGTAAACCCAGAGCCTATTTTGGTTTGAATTTCCATCAACTTTTGACCCGTTGCAACCATGTATCTCTGCAAACGGAATGTCTCCTCTAGGAAATGCTCCAGTGTTCTGGTTTCCCCTTTGGTTTTTGCACTGGTGCAATCTCCTTGACTCGATGACGGATCGTTTTCGTGCTGAAAATTTTTATTGAGATTTGAGATGGTGATAAGAAATTTAGCAATAGGATAGTATTGGAGTACCATTTGATTTCAAATTTTAACAAATATGCATGCAAAAAAGTTGCAGATCACCAGTGAAAACCATTGATGATCATGGCTTACCATCCTCTTACAGAGATCGTCGGTCTTCCCTTGAAGGGACTGGTAGCGGTTCACTTGTTTGTTAAGCAAAGATATCGGTCTTCCTTTGAAGGGACTGGTAGCGGTTCACTTGTTTGTTAAGCAAAGATATCAACATTAGGAAGGCTTTCATCCCTTTGTAATCTCCTTCCATGCCCTCTATAGTTTCTTGCTTTCCATTTAACCTCTCAAGCATGAGATTTTGTTGTTTCAACCTTTTGATCTTGTAAGAAACTCCAAGTGCTTGAAGATCCATCCTCCATGGGTTGCTTTTGGTTTTAGCAACCTCTGAATGCGCAACTGATACCGATTTATCACCAGACTCGACCACCAATGAACCATTAGTTTCTTCTTGAGGTTCTCTTTCTTCTTCAAACTCCTTTTCAGGTGACTGAATAATCAATCTGATGCTTTTGGACTCATTGCAAGATGGGATTACCTCTTCATTATCTAGCAAAGTTGTTTTCGATTCTTGCTCCTTCTCAGTCATTTTTTTCTTTATGATCTTGACTTTGGGCCAAAAGGAATCATTTGTTAGAGCTGGATCATGCAGAGATAAATTTAATGTCACCCTTTTGACAACTCGGAGGCTTCAATTGTGATGCAAACTGATCCTTCAAGGAATCTAATTCTTCTTCTCTCTCCAACAGCAAGGCCTCCAATTTCATGTAGTCTTGTCTTAGTTGAGACACATCCTGGTTCAGAACTTCAACATGGGACTGCAACCGCTCTGATTCTAGTTCCATGTTCAGCAGCTGCCATCGAAATTCCTCTAGCTTCTCGTCTTTCAATCTCATTTGTTCTGCAAATGCATCCAACTCCAAATGGTGCCTTTTCTCAATCACATTTGCATAATTTTCTGCCTCTTCTCGAACCCAACATTCCAGCCTTTTAACATCAGCTGTCACCACTATTTTCAAATGAAAACACAAAAAATCAAAAATCGATTTCAGAAATGATCAAATCTTAAACATGATAAGTCCTGCGTTTGACTGGACTACATGAAAGATATTACAGCTACTACTAGCTCATCTGCAATGCTTGCTAAGAAGAGAATAGCAGGGAAATTGTTGACAGTTCTCACCAAAATCCTCAGTCCCTTGTGGAGATTGAAAGTCTGTGAGAGGATAAAAGACTTCCGGGTCGGTTTTAAGTTCGGAAACATCCAATTTTGCACTGGTTGGAGCTTCGTTACGGAACATACCCTTCAACGAATGTCTCTCGTGTCTTGTCTCAGAGACGGCTTTCCACCTTTCTGTTTCCATTTCAGCTTGCTTCTTCTTTGCCTTTGATACTTTAACCTCTTTCAAAAGCAATTGTTTCTCAGCTGTATCTAATTTTGATTTCCTCAACATTGCAGACAAGATCTTATCCTTTTGCTCTAAATCCTTGCGCATTTTCGTTATTTCCATTTTTGTGCCAACATAACTGATTCCTCCTTCAGTTCCACCACTGCATTAAGCTCCATCTTTGTAGCTTCAACTTGTCTAAAGGCATCCCCCCATCTCTGCTTCTAGTTGCCTTTGATTCGAAACAATCTCAATAAAGGCAGTTTTGTGTTTCCAAAGCTCAGTGCAACCGCTCTGATTCTAGTTCCATGCTCAGCAGCTGCCATCGAAATTCCTCTAGCTTCTCGTCTTTCAATCTCATTTGTTCTGCAAATGCATCCAACTCCAATGGTGCCTTTTCTCAATCATCCTTCAACTTTTCTTCTAATTCCTTCACTTTCAACTCCATTTCTTCAATCATCCTGTTCTTCGACTCCACCGATACCTTGGTTTTGTTCAATTTGTCATTCAAGCCTGCAATTTCTTCATCTTTCTTTTTCCCCAAGACTCTCAGTTCATTTATAAGAGCTCCAATTTGCAACCTAAGCTTCTTTCTTTCAATCAACCATCCTTGCTCTTGTGATGCAAAGATGCTGACAACTTTTTCATTTGCTTTCGCATCTTCATGTCTCATTTGCTTCAACTCCTCAATCTCTCTATCTGCAATCTGGAGCTTTTGGAGAAGTTGAGCCTTTGCCACATCAGGTTCTTCTTCTCTTTGGATTCTCCATAGAAGCAACCCCAAGAGGTGAGCACTTCCTTGAAGCATTTTATCACGAAATTCACACCATTTCTCATCACACTCTTCGGATCCTATGAGGAATCTAGAGGAAAAATGGCACATGAAATACCAAAATACATTGGGCACAAGCTGTCACTTTTGTCTTCAGAGATGATTAGACGTGAACCAGAGATTCTCTTCTCATCCATTGCCTGTTAGAAGAAAACTGAAAAGAAATTCAATTCCATGTGTATTCAGTGTGATCTAATTAAGCTAGTAAAAATAATTGATCACAAAAGGCATTACAATAATGGAGGAACAACAATACCCTACATAGTGAGCTGCAAAAAGAAAACCTTAAAAAAAGGGTACAATCCATGAGAAAATAATGTGGAACTTACAAGAACAAAAGGCTGAAATACTCGGAAGAATTCGAAACCCAGAGCACAGAAAACCAGATTCTACAAGTTTTCCGTGGAAGATCTTTTTAATGGAAAATTAACCATTATAAACCATCAGGGAATACAAGTCTGCCAAATCAGTTAAAAAGAAAAAGGCGCAAACTTTGACAGAATGAAAGTTTTTTTTTTTTTACTTGTTTAGAGAGATAAACCCACCTGTTTCCCATCAACTAGATTCCCGGGTGTTTGCCATCATTGCTAAACAAGGAGTTGAAGAAGAAAATAAAGAAATATTTTTTATTATCTTCAATGTCTTTTCTTTCTTATGTTATTAACAGTAATCCATTGAATTAATAAGAATTGATCTATCAAAATAGTTTTTAAACTACATGCAGTGATTACATATAGAATAGTATAGAGTTTCCTTACGCTAAAAGTCAGAACACTTCAAAATGTGTATTGTAGTTCCATTTGGGACCAGATTACAAATTTATAAAAATATGTGCCATATAAGTTTGTTTTCTTGGACCACATTATCAACTCATAAATACAGCCTACAAACTGTTAAGAAAACCAAAAAAAAAAATCTTCAACAATCCATTCGACACACGTACCCCATGAAAACAAAATTCGGTTCGGTTGGAATTTAAAATCTAGAACAAAAAAAACAGATTTATTTTATTAGATATATATGTATATATATTAGTTTGAACTTATAGTAATTAATTATATGAAGAAAATATCGTCTTAGATAAGGTCTCATGCTATTCTCTTATTTTTATTTTTTGCATAATTTTCTTTTGATTTATGTATCCCTTATTTTGATTTATTTTTCCCCACATATTCTTGATGTATTTGATTTTGTTTGCTCTATTGCAAGTTTGTTTTTCTGCTTTTATGGTATGATTTTTTCTATTATTATAATAGTTTGACATTTCGTGTGCATTTATCATGGTGCATCTCCCGATCTAGAAAGGTCGATGATTTTTCATAGTTAGATACCATTTGTGACAGTTTATCAATACACTCAGAATCATTTGAAAACTAATCAATCAATTTTTTTTCTAAATATAGAGATTATACGTAGTTACTATATTTTTTTAAAAGATAAAATATGTATTCAAAGAAAAGTTTTGATTTAATTTTTCTTCGCACCCTGTAGATTTTTTTTGTTGCCCTCCAGTTCCAAGGCTTCGCCCTGACTAATTTGGACCAACCCGAGTCGCACTCTTGGTTTTGGTGGGTGAGTCTCCCAGTGGGGATTTTCTGCATACACAAGTGTTGTGATTTCGATAAAGCTCAATTCAACAACTGAATATTGCCAAGAGGAAGTTAATTGACTTTTTGAGTTTAGAGAGTAAGGTGTAAAAAGAGATAGACAATTTGTATAAGGATTTATAGTGGTTCGACTTCTCAACCAAGTCTACATCCACTACCTAAGCTCTTCACTTAGGATTTTCTAACAAATTCACTAATTTGTTCTTTCTTTTTCCAGGATAAAGAGATAACATTTACAACTACCTAGCTTTTCACAGGCTAAGCTATAACCAATCCCCTTTTACAAAGGTTAAAAAATGTAAACAATAAAATCTCTTAAAGGAATGTGTTTACAAAAATTAAGCTCACTAAAACACTAATATTTACAACAGAAAGGAAAAATAAGAATGAAAAACTATTCTCTTGTATTTGATTGCTTGGATATGTGTTATAACCCTTCTTCAAGTGTCCTCAACTTGTTTTTATATGTTGGAAGGAGTTTGTGACTGTTTCTAGCTGTTGGGGATGTTTTGGAGCCATTGGGGATTAATTTTCTGCAAAATAAAACTGCTCAGGACATGGAGTATCGGTACTCCTTTAATGAGTATCGGTACTACCTTTGTAATATTTAAATAAACTACTCCTTAAAGACTGTTGGGCTTGACCAATATCAATACTATGTTTCATGTTATCGATGCCACTGTGTAAACTAGTATTGTAACACCTCAAACATCGGGTTAGTGACGAAAAATGTAAGAATTTACATTTAATGGTTTAATTGAAATAAATTGAAAAGTTCAAGGATTTATTTAGTAATTTTGTTTAGGACTTGATATGTTGGAATATTGGAAGGGCATTATGGTCTTTTCAAAGGAAATGAGTTTTGTATTCCCATTAAAGGGATATAAAACACTTGGGAGAAGGAAAGAGAAAGAAAAATCTGGAAACCATTGTTATCTTCTTCCTCTTTGTCGTGAACTACATTTCAAAGGTGAGTTGATTTCAAGTTGTTTGTTCCTTGAATTTTTAAGTTGATTCTTATTCTTTGGGTGATATATAAGCTTAAGGAAAGCTTCTGGTGGATTAAAACTAAAAGATGAATGAATTAGTGATGAAATTATAAAATGGGTTGTTAGGAGATTTGATGAGATTGAGTAGTAATTCAATTTCTAAATGCATATTTGACTTGTCAAATGTCTAATTAAGGGATTTGAAGTATTAGAAATGATTTAGAACATGATTGAAAATATGGTATGATTTTTAGTCTCAAGTTTTTTTAGTGGGATTTTGGATGTTTAGGAGTGTTAAAGTGATATAAGTTGGTTTTACTAAGTGTAGTCGAGTTAAAAGGCATGAAAGGAGATAAAAGTGGGAGATTTGGGTGAATTTTGGTTAATTTTCGAAATGAAATAGGTAATTTTTGGGCAAGGGTATCGGTATTGGAAGAACAGTATCGATACTTCAAGGCAAAAGTGGTTTAAATTCGAGGAACAATATCGATATTGATTGAAGAAGGTATCGATACTGAAATAGGAGTATCGATACCAAGAGTAAGGTATCAATACTGTTGAAAACATTTTTGATATTTTGATATAACAAATTAAGTTAAATGAATTTTAAGATTTCACAAATGATTTTACAAATTCGATTCAATTAACCGAATATCAAATTATTACTCCAAGTTTTTCAAGATCAATTTTAATCCTTACTAAATGTGTAAAATTGTGATTTGTACTTAAACTATTTTTGAAACAATTTTACAAAGTATTTTGAACCAAAAACAAGCCTTAAATCAATTATTCAAAGGCATGCATCGATGCATCAGTCCATGCATTGATGCATCGATGAATTAATTGAACATCAAATGCATTCCATGCACCGATGCACTCTCCATGCATCGATGCACTCTGAATATTTTCAAAACATCGAATGCATTTGATGCATCGATGCACACCAGGCTATTTTTCAAACATCGAATGCATTTCATGCATCGATGCACACTTGGTGCACCGATGCATCAAGTGTTCCAACGGTCAAAATATTTGAATTTTACACGAATGCACCGATGCATACTTGATCATGCATCGATGCATGAGACGCTCCACCTAGAAAAATTAATTGTTTTCACACTTAAACGGCTCTATTATCCCCACTAATTATCACCAACGTTCAGAATTGATTCAAGGGGTATTTAAACAAGTTATGGAGCCATTGATCAACAACAAGAAACATCAAGTAACTAGAATCAAGAGAGAATCAAAGAGAAAGCATCAAACCTCAAGTTTGAGCATTTCAAGCATATTTTTTATCCAATATTAATTTGCTTTCAAGAACACTTTTGTACTCAATTGTATTTATCTTTGAGTGTTCTTTTGTTTGTTCTAGAATTGTGCAAACATCTTACCTTGTGAGGTTTTCTTGTAAGTTTGCAAATTTGTAATCTTCTCTTTGGGAAAAAGAGTGTTCTCAAGAGTTGGGGTATACTCTTGAGGGATTTTGTAAGGTTATCTCTTTGGCCTCAAAAGAAAGAACAAATTAGTGAATTTGTTGGAAAATCCTTAGTGTGGATAGCTAAGGTAGTGGACGTAGACTTTGTTTGAGAAAGTCGAACCACTGTAAATCGCTGTGCAATTACTTTCAATTTTTCTGCAAAAGCTTCCACGAAATTTTTATTTGCCAATTCACCCCCCTCTTGGCCGATTCCATCGATCGATTAACTCAATAATTGGTATCAGAGCCTAACTCATTTGAAGGTTTAATCGCCTCTTGAGTCGATTCGGGAAGAGTTATATCGATTATTAAAGTCATCAATGGCCTCCGCTTCAAACTTCGACTCCGATCTCGATTCGATGCCCGTCAACAAGCCTCCTTTCTTCAATGGGGCTAATTATGCCTATTGGAAGAATAGAATGATGTACTTCATTCAAGCAAGTGACATGGGAGCATGGAATGCCGTAGAAGAAGGATACATCAAGCCTCTCACTCATCCAAGGTTGTGGAGTGAAGGAGATACAAGAATGTTCCAGCTCAATTCCAAAGCCATCCATATTATTTTTTGTGCTCTTGGACCAGATGAATACGGAAGAGTTTCATCATGTACAACTGCCAAAGAAATATGGGACAAGCTTCAAGTCACACATGAAGGTACCGATGAGGTAAAGAAATCAAAAATTAGTATTCTAACGCATAGCTATGAAAATTTCAGGATGAAACCAAATGAAGACATCAAAGCTATGGCAGATAGATTTTCAACGATTGTCAATGGTCTCAAATCATATGGAGAGATCATCTCAAATGAAAAGCTTGTGAGGAAGTTAGTCTACTCCCTCCCAAAATCATGGCAATCAAAGAAGACGGCAATCATTGAGTCTAAGGACCTATCATCCTTAACTCTTGAAGAACTTATCGGTTCACTCCTCACTCATGAGATGATGCTTGAAGATGAGGTGGACCTTGATAATGTTGAAGAGACACCAAAGGAGAAGGAGAAAAAGAAAAACATTGGAGTTGCTCTCAAATCCACAAAAGATGAGAGTGATTCTAATAATGATGATGATGATGAGGAAATGGCATTGTTTGCCAAACGGTTCAGAAAAATGATGAGACCTTACCGAGGAAGAAAATTCAAACGAAACGAAGGCCTCAAAAATGAACCAAAAGAGAAGGACCCAATCATTTGCTATGAATGCAAAAAGCCGGGGCATGTCAAATATGATTGCCCACAATTAAAGAAAAAGGGTCAATCAAAGAATAAGCACAAGGCTCATGTGGCTACATGGAGCGATGAAGAAAGTTCCGATGAAGAGGAACAAGAAGTAGCAAACTTGTGC